TCTTTGGCTTTCCACTTTCAATTTTTATTCTTACAAAAAATAGAAGATTTACTGTTATGCAGACTACTGCATTAGTGTAGAAATAGTATAAATAATATCAGCGCACTTGTGAAAGAATATTAGACTCACCAGTTGACGTGTATTGGACGCCTAGCATGATTTGTTTACTTTAGAACTTTGGTAAAAATCGAACATTTCTGCTACTTTGAGCTCAATTTCAAGGTACTTTTCATTGTAAAACCAGTCAGAATCATCTCAATTTCTGTAATATGTCCTCCATTCTATAAAATGAGCCCAAGAAAACTAGAATACAATAACAAATACCATACGAAAATACAGTTCAAAGTCGCTGTTTTATTCCAAAAACACGGTCAAAGTTATTTTTTTCTCATTATGCACTGTGTGCTGCAGGATTTTTTTTATACTGCGCACACTGACCACACTGACCCATTCTTTCATATGTATGCCTACCAGCTTTCTCCCACTAGATTTGAGGGCGCTAGAATTTAGGCGTACTAGTACGTCAAAAACCCTGGGTCGTAAGCCGTACTAGTACAGCTGAAACCCTCAAAGGGTTAAATGTTCATTTATATGTAATTGTCATTGTTTTGTGTATGTAAAACTAGTTAAGCTTTACGAAATGTATTTTTTTATTATTATTATTTTTGGGTGTCTGGAACGGATTAATTGTATTTACATTAATTCTTATGGGAAATATTGCTTCGAATTTAGGCCAACCTTCTGGAATGGATTACGGCCAATATTCGGGGTTCCACTGTATAATTATCAGAGTACATATAAAATATGCAATAACTTTAAAACACTTGAACTTTTAGAAATTTTACAGACATAATAGAGATATCTGCACACTTAGAATGTAAACAAACCAGGTGGAGCACGTCGTATTTGAAAGACCGCTCACCGTATAGCAAATTTTGGTCATAATTTGAAATCGCCATATTAGCAGAACGCTGTAAGGCGAAATGCCATAAAGCGGGGGCCCTACTGTACCTGTGACACCCTTCAAAGGGGTCCTTGTAGTCAGTGAAGGGCTCATGATCCAAGGAATTGGAGCCACACTTCTTTAGCTTCACATCTGATTGTCACTCATTCTCCAGGTTCTGTATGACTCCTATGGATTTAATGCTTTTACATAAATACAATACATACTGTAATAATAATAATTCTCTGGCATACCTGTGTCCCATTTCAAAGATTTGTCTTTTGGCCTGACTTCCTTGTTGAATACTTGGTTAACTAGGCTGTTGCTATTATATACCAGTCATCTGGGACTTCACACATCATTAATGATTTGTTAATGAGTTTTTGTAAATGACTTGTGTGGCATTTCAGCTCTTAATATTCTTCTGTTCATTTCATGGTGATGCTACAGTCTCTTCTTGATACATTTGATGTCTCCATTTTCATAAGTCTCCTCGTGTTCTTGTTAGTTTTTCTCAATGTGTGGTAATTTAATTTTGATTTTTTCTCTTTCTGTCAAAACGGCTTTTTCCATTTGAAAACACTTATGAAATCTTCTCTTGAGCTCTTTGCATCCCTTTCCTCTTTGCCTCAGCATTTCCATTTTTCCTCCCCCTCCTTTCCCCTCAGTGTTACACATGGTTGTCATTTTTCTTCGATGTGGCGTGAAAAAGCTTGGGGTTGTCTATGCCTTTAATACAATGTCCATTTTAGAAGTTCATCTGAAGGGAATCATTCTTTCTTCACTTTCATTTCTTTGGCTTGGGTTTTATATATACCTTTCCCTGCTCATTGTTTCTGTATTTTAGCCCCTTACATTGAAAAATTGAGTCATGGGTTTTTTCCCCAGTATCTTTTTACTCCCCAGAGGGTTTTTCTGTAAAACTTTTTCTGTTATTTCCTTGCACTTTTTTTTTTTTTAAACACATTGTCCGTCTCCCACCAAGGCAGGGTGGCCTAACAAAGAAGAGAACACTTTCACTGTCACATATTTATTTACTGTCCTGCCAGAAGGGCACTAACATCACAAATCACGTGAACCTTTGAACAGTCACTACTTCCCACCTCCAGGACTGGTCCAGCTAACCAGTTGCCTTGAATCCACTCATGAATGTTACCTTGCTTACTCTCCAACAGCACGTCAAATCATAAAAATCACTTGCCTCCACTCCTATGTAACATGCTTGCTTAAGCCTGTTAGACATCCAAGCCCATAACACAAAACTTCCTGTACCCCTTCCCTCCAATCTCCTAAGTTGACTCCAACCCCTCCTTCCCTCCACCCTAGAATTTTATGCTCTCCTAGTCATTCTATTTTTCTCTATCCTCTCTAAATATCCAAACCACCACAACAACTGCTCCTCAGCCCTCTGAATAATACTTTTTGGTAATTCCACACCTGTTCTCTAAACTCTTGAGTTCTCTGCATAATATTCGCATTGCACATTGCCCTCATACATGACAGCTCCACTGCCTCCAGCCTCCTTGCTGCAACCGTCAAAATGTATGCTTCACACCCATACAATATCATTGGTATCACTATGCTCTGGTAAATTCCCCCTCTTTGCCTCCATGGATAAGGTTCATTGTCACCACATATGCCTCTATGCACCACCCACTTTTTTACCTTCATCATTTCTATTGTTTACCTCATCTCTAGTAGAACCATCTTACAGTAAGTCAACTCCCAGTTATATAAACTTATTTACTTCCTCTATGCTCCCTCCCTCCACTCTAATATCCAGACTCTCATTGCCTATATTTCTTGATATTTGTCATCTTGCTCTTTCCTAGGTTTTCTTTTAATTTCCTTCTTTTATTTACCCTCCCAAATACATGTACCAAAGTTTGTAACTTCTCTTCCGAATCTCCTAAAATAAACTTATCAATCAGACACCTCTCCATAACACCCCAGCATTCACTTTTCACATCTGCATAGATATATAGGTTAACAACTGTAGTGACATCACACATCCTTGTCTAATGCCTACTTTTATTGGAAAATAATCTCCCTCTCTCCTTCATACACTAACCTGGACCTTGCTATCCACATAAAAATGTTTACTGCTTTAAGTTGCCTACCACCTATTCCATCTGCAACATATGCCACATTGCTTCCCAATCTGCCTTGTCATATGCCTTTTCTAAATCCATAAATGCAATGAAAAGTGCCTTACCTTTATCCAAGTATTGTTCATTTAAGTGTTCAGTGTAAGCACTTGATATATACATCCCCCTAATCTTCCTCCTTGTTGCTCTCCAGTCCTACTCTGTCTTACCCATAATTCTTTAAGTAACCCTTCCATTCACTTTACCTGGTATGCTCAACCAGCTTATTCCCCTATTAGTCTTAAAATAATTTTTATCCCCTTTTCCCTTATACAAAGGAATCATACATTCTCTCAGCTAATCTCTAGATACCTTTCCTGTTTCATCTGTATTTTGAACAAATGTATCATTTGTTCAAAAACTACATCCCCACCTGCTTTTAACATTTTAGTCTTAATCTCATCTATCCCAACTGTTGTAGCCCCTTTCATTCTAACAACTGTCTCATGCACCTCCTCCCCAACTTACATCTGGCTCTATCTCCCAAAATTTGTTACACCTCCCTGCTTAATGCAAGAAAACACTACTTCCCTCACTTCATCAACATTGCAACAATTCCTCAGAATATTTCTTCCATCATCCCAGCACCTCCACCTCATCTACTGGCTCCCTTCTTTTGTTTTTAAATGTTTAATTAATTTATTTCCTTGGCTTTTTCAGCTTATTGACCTCACTCCAAAACTTTTTTGTTCTCAGTCAAATTTGTTCATGAAACCTCTCACACTCTTTCATTACCTCTCCTTTTGCACTCCCTCACCACTCTTTTATCCTCTGTTTTGCTCTCCATATACTCCTTTCTCAGTATATTACTTCTACATTATAAAAACCTTTCAAATGCCAACATTTTCTCTCTTACCATTCTCTTTGGCTTGTCATTTCACCAATTGCTCCTCTTTCCTTTTGTACCCACCCTCCTTTACCCACAAAATTCTGCTGTGCACTCAAACACTGCATTCCTGAATGTACCCTCATACCTTTTCTATCTCCTCCTCCATACTTTTTCTCTCTAGCCCATCCTCCTAATAGTTGTTTATACTTTGCCCTAACTGTCTCTTCCTAAAATTTATAAACATTCACCTCTCACTGACCTATCAATAACATTCTCCTTGTATCCATCTTCCTCTAACTTTCTCTGTATCTGCCATTAAATAATGGTTTAATATGTGTGACCTCTCTAAAAACATGCTCATCCAGAAGTCTACCTAACAGCCTTTTATCTACTCATAAATATCCTAACAAACTGCTATCATCACACCCTGTACAGTATATCATACTAATTTATCCTTTTTTTCTTCAAATGCATATTACCTGTTCCAAACCTATTTCTATACATAGCTCAATTAAAAGCCCCCATTATCATTTACCCCTGGCACTCTAAACTTAACCTACTAAGCCCTATGCAGCAGTTTCTCTCACTTTAGCATTTAGGTAAAGTATCCTCTAAATTTATCAACCCACTTTAATCAAGACTTAAAATTTGTTTCTTTCTCTATACACTAGCTTTGTCAGTTCTCCAATTTCTTCTTTTTTTTCCTTATTTTTATTCACGTAGTAGTAGATCATCAAAACAGTATTTACTTTCCCAGTTCAAATTCCATATTCTGTCTTCTCTTTATCTGCCTTGGGGATGAAACCAAGATTCAGCCTTGTCAGTTCATTTTTATTTTAACATGCTGCTTTACAGAGTTCTATATTAATAAGTTGAGCAGCTTACTTCTCCACATCTCTGAGCCCCTGTATTGACTGAGAACTTGAAAGAGGCGAGAGACTCCTGTTCATGTTGTCCTCAATTGTTTATAATAAAATGCTAATGCATTCTATTTTTAATTGATTATTGCCACCTTTGTAAATTGTGGCTATTAAGAATTTTTTTATTTGCTATGTTTCATGCCTTTATCTCTCTCTTTCAGGAAGTTTCATTATATAAAGATGGAGGACCATTAGGATTAAGTATTATTGGAGGATCAGACCATTTCTGTGTTCCATTTGGCATCTCACCAGAGGACCCAGGAATATACATATCAAAAGTAAGTTTTTTGTACATATTCTCCTTCACTGCTAATATTTTGTGTGCGCGTCTGTGTGCACGTGTGTGCGCATGTGTGTATGGACGTGTGTATGCACCTGTGTGTACACGTGTGTGTGCGCATGTGTGCGTGTGTGCGTGTGTGTGCGTGTGTGTGCGTGTGTGTGTGTGTGTGTGTATGTGTGTGTGTACATGTATGTGTACTCGCCTATACATGAAGCTCCTCTCCCTACCTCTTCACTTCATGCTTGCAAGATTTGCTCCTTCCTAGCCTCGTGGGCCCTATTGTACCTGCTCTTAAAACTGTATGGAGCCTGCCTCCACAGCTTCTTCACAGAGATCATTTCAGTTTCCAACCACCCTGAGACTAAAGAAATACATTTCCTGACATCCCTGTGGCTCATCAGTGTCTTTAACCTCTTCACTATTGGAAGCCGTGAAATTAAAAGTGCTCTCTGTGTCAGTATTTAAAAAAAAATTTGAAATGGTAGAGAATCATTTTCTGAAGGTAATCATACCAAAAATACAAAATCTGATGGAAAATTCAAGGAATTATGCAGGTGCAAAGTTAGTGATTTGGGCCAATTTACACATTGGTGGTTTTGCTTCCAGAATTTTCATGACTGCATATGCTAGGTTTGAATTCAAGCAGTTATTTATCTGATCATTCTTGTAATTTGTCCAGATCCCTTTGGAGCATATTTTTTTCTCGTCCGTTTTTATTCTCCTAAGGTCTTATCTTTTTAATCATCAGTCAGTGTACTTTCCTTGTGTTTGTGTAGTTGTGTTTGCAGGGGTCAGATCACAGTTCCTGGCCTGGCCTAGCCTCTGCATGTTTCTCCACCATCTTTACTGAATTCTTTCTATTATGTGTGATTTTGTCTGCTCTTTACCTTTACCACTTCTTCCTCTAGTAAACTTTATTTTCCATGTTAAGACTGAAAAACTTCCTAATGTCCCTGTGGTTCATCAGCATCTTAAACTGTCATCTGTGTCCCGTAGCTTCCATTTCTATCGTATCAAATTTCTCTTGATATTTTGTTTGTGATGAATGTATTGTCCATTGTCAGTACTTTTCTATTTTATGTCTTCAAGCTCTTTTTCTTTAGATCACAGCAGGTGGAGCAGCCCACAAAACTGGAAAACTTCGGATGGGTGATCGTATCTTAGCAGTCAATGGTACTGACATGACTGGAGCTTCACATGAAGAGGCTGTTATGGCACTTCTTAATCCACCCAATGAAATCATACTTTCAATTCGACATGATCCACAGCCTAAAGGACTCCAGGTAAGTAATATTACACAAATATTTACATACTTCCATAACCTACTAAATTTATTTAAATGTTGGTGCTTCAACCCAGGTAAAGTGTATGGTAGGGTTATTATTGAAAGAATTAGAGGTAAGACAGAGTGCAGGATTGTAGATGAAAAAGGAGGCTTTAGAATGGGTAGGGGATGTATAGATCAAGTGTTTACATTGAAGCATATAAGCAAACAATATTTAGATAAAGGTAAGAAAGTTTTCATTGCATTTATGGATTTAGAAAAGGCATATGATAGAGTGGATAGGGGAGCAGTGTGGCAGATGTTGCAATGTATGGAATAGGTAATAAGTTAGTCAATGCTGTAAAGAGCTTTTACGAGGATAGTGAGGCTCAGGTTAGGGTGTATAGGAAAGAGGGAGATTACTTCCCAGTGAAAGTAGGTATTAGACAGGGATGTGTAATGTTACCATGATTGTTTAGCATATTTATAGGTGGGGTTGTAAAAGAAGTAAATGCTAAGGTGTTGGGGAGAGGAGTGGGATTAAATTTTGGGGATTCAAATACAAAATCAGAGTCGACAGGCACTTTTTGCCGATGATACTTTGCTTTTGGGAGATTCTAAAGAGAAGTTTCAAAGGTTAGTGGACAAGTTTGGGAGGGTGTGTAAAGGAAGAAAGTTGAAAGTGAACATAGATAAGAGTAAGGTGATGAGGGTATCAAACAAGTTAGATAAAGGAAAATTGTATGCACATTGGAAGGAAGGAGTATGGAAGAAGTGTTCAGATATTTGGGCATAGACTTGTCAGCAGATATGTTTGTGAAGGACAAGGTTAGCCATAGAATTGATGAAGGAAAAAAGGTGAGTGATGCCTTGAGGTATCCATGGAGACAAAAAACAATATCCATGGGGCCAAGAAGGAAATGTATGAGAGTAAGGTGGTACCAACACTGTTATATGGGTGTGAAGCATGAGTTGTAAATGTTGCAGTAAGAAGGAGGCTGGAGACAGTGGAGATGTCGTGTCTAAAGGCAATGTGTGGTGTAGATATTGTGCAGAAAATTTGTGGTATGGAAATCAGGAGGTGGTGTGGAGTTATTAGAATTATTATGAAGAGAGCTGAAAAGGGGATTCTCTTCAAGTGAGCTTCCTTGATGCTGATGAGGGACTCTTGATCTTGGGAATTGGATCTGTGCTCCAGTTCCCTAAATTGAGGCTGAATTCCTTCCTTCCCTTCTCCCCCCCTCCACATCCCCACAGGCACTGTATAATCCCTACAGGTTTAGTGCACCCCATGATAATAAGAATGAAGAGGGAATGTTGAGGTTGTTTAGTCATTTCGAGAGGATGGAACAAAAGAGGATCACTTGGAGGGTGCATAAATCAGTAGAGGAGAGTACACGAGGTAGGGGTCATCATAAGAAAGGATGGAGGGAGGAGGTAAAAGAGGTTTTGTGTGCAAGGGATTGGGCATGCAGAATCATGTGTGAGCATGTTAGAGAGGAGTGAATGAAGTCAAATGGTTTTTGGGACCTGACGAGCTGTTGGAGTGTGAGCAGAGTAATGTTTTGTGAAGGGAGTCAAGAAAACTGGTTAGCAGGACTTGAGTCCTGGAGGTGGAAAGTACAATGCCTGCATTTTAAAGGAGGGGTTTGAGATATTGGCTGTTTGGAGTGACGTCTAAACTGTCGTATCTGGGCGCATCTGCAAAGACAGTGATTGTGTGAATGATGGTGAAAGTGTTTCTTTTTTTGAGTTACCCTGCCTCAGTGGGATATGGCCGGTGGGTTAAAAATAAATAAATAAATAAATATATGTATATATACAGTGAACCCTCGGTTATCGGCCGTTCCGCTTATCGGCCAACTCGCTTATCGGCTGGTTTTTTGGCTTCCAATTATTGGCCATTTTGCTTATCGGCCATATTGGACGCTTATTGGTCAGCGACACTCACACGTTCCTGAGTCAGTGTAGCTGTGTCGCTGGCCGGGTGAGGAAGCTCCTGCTCATTCATCCAAACATTTCACTATAAATCAGTGTTTTTCCTTGTTATTTATTAAGTGCAACTGCGAAATAAGTAAGCATGGCCCAAAGAAAGTTCCTAGCCAAGTTCCGGTGGTAAAGAAACTGAGAAACATGATAGAATTTAAGAGAGAAGTGATTGAAAAATTTGAGAGTGGTATGTGAGGTAGTAGGTTGGTAGACAGCAACCACCCAGGGAAGTACTACCATCCTGCCAGATGACTGTGAAACAGAAACCTGTAACTGTTTTGCATGATGGTAGGATTGCTGGTTTCTTTTTCTGTCTCATAAACACGCTAGATAACAGGGATATCTTGCTACTCCTACTTACACTTTGGTCACACTTCACAGACACGCACATGCATATATATATACATACATCTAGGTTTTTCTCCTTTTTCTAAATAGCTCTTGTTCTTCTTTATTTCTTCTATTGTCCATGGGGAAGTGGAAAAGAATCTTTCCTCCGTAAGCCATGCGTGTCGTATGAGGCGACTAAAATGCCGGGAGCAATGGGCTAGTAACCCCTTCTCCTGTAGACATTTACTAAAAAAGAGAAGAAGAAAAACTTTATAAAACTGGGATGCTTAAATGTGCGTGGATGTAGTGCGGATGACAAGAAACAGATGATTGCTGATGTTATGAATGAAAAGAAGTTGGATGTCCTGGCCCTAAGCGAAACAAAGCTGAAGGGGGTAGGGGAGTTTCAGTGGGGGAAATAAATGGGATTAAATCTGGAGTATCTGAGAGAGTTAGAGCAAAGGAAGGGGTAGCAGTAATGTTAAATGATCAGTTATGGAAGGAGAAAAGAGAATATGAATGTGTAAATTCAAGAATTATGTGGATTAAAGTAAAGGTTGGATGCGAAAAGTGGGTCATAATAAGCGTGTATGCACCTGGAGAAGAGAGGAATGTAGAGGAAAGTGAGAGATTTTGGGAGATGTTAAGTGAATGTATAGGAGCCTTTGAACCAAGTGAGAGAGTAATTGTGGTAGGGGACCTGAATGCTAAAGTAGGAGAAACTTTTAGAGAGGTGTGGTAGGTAAGTTTGGGGTGCCAGGTGTAAATGATAATGGGAGCCCTTTGATTGAAACTTTGTATAGAAAGGGGTTTAGTTATAGGTAATACATATTTTAAGAAAAAGAGGATAAATAAGTATACAAGATATGATGTAGGGTGAAATGACAGTAGTTTGTTGGATTATGTATTGGTAGATAAAAGACTGTTGAGTAGACTTCAGGACGTACATGTTTATAGAGGGGCCACAGATATATCAGATCACTTTCTAGTTGTAGCTACACTGAGAGTAAAAGGTAGATGGGATACAAGGAGAATAGAAGCATCAGGGAAGAGAGAGGTGAAGGTTTATAAACTAAAAGAGGAGGCAGTTAGGGTAAGATATAAACAGCTATTGGAGGATAGATGGGCAAATGAGAGAATAGGCAATGGGGTCGAAGAGGTATGGGGTAGGTTTAAAAATGTAGCGTTAGAGTGTTCAGCAGAAGTTTGTGGTTACAGGAAAGTGGGTGCGGGAGGGAAGAGGAGCGATTGGTGGAATGATGATGTAAAGAGAGTAGTAAGGGAGAAAGAGTTAGCATATGAGAAGTTTTTACAAAGTAGAAGTGATGCAAGGAGGGAAGAGTATATGGAGAAAAAGAGAGAGGTTAAGAGAGTGGTGAAGCAATGTAAAAAGAGAGCAAATGAGAGAGTGGGTGAGATGTTATCAACAAATTTTGTTGAAAATAAGAAAAAGTTTTGGAGTGAGATTAACAAGTTAAGGAAGCCTAGAGAACAAATGGATTTGTCAGTTAAAAATAGGAGAGGAGAGTTATTAAATGGAGAGTTAGAGGTATTGGGAAGATGGAGGGAATATTTTGAGGAATTGTTAAATGTTGATGAAGATAGGGAACCTGTGATTTCGTGTATAGGGCAAGGAGGAATAACATCTTGCAGGAGTGAGGAAGAGCCAGTTGTGAGTGTGGAGGAAGTTCGTGAGGCAGTAGGTAAAATGAAAGGGGGTAAGGCAGCCGGGATTGATGGGATAAAAGATAGAAATGTTAAAAGCAGGTGGGGATATAGTTTTGGAGTGGTTGGTGCAATTATTTAATAAATGTAAGGAAGAGGGTAAGGTACCTAGGGATTGGCAGAGAGCATGCATAGTTCCTTTGTATAAAGGCAAAGGGAATAAAAGAGAGTGCAAAAATTATAGGGGATAAGTCTGTTGAGTATACCTGGTAAAGTGTATGGTAGAGTTATTATTGAAAGAATTAAGAGTAAGACGGAGAATAGGATAGCAGATGAACAAGGAGGCTTTAGGAAAGGTAGGGGGTGTGTGGACCAGGTGTTTACAGTGAAACATATAAGTGAACAGTATTTAGATAAGGCTAAAGAGGTCTTTGTGGCATTTATGGATTTGGAAAAGGCGTATGACAGGGTGGATAGGGGGGCAATGTGGCAGATGTTGCAGGTGTATGGTGTAGGAGTAGGTTACTGAAAGCAGTGAAGAGTTTTTACGAGGATAGTGAGGCTCAAGTTAGAGAATGTAGGAAAGAGGGAAATTATTTCCCAGTAAAAGTAGGCCTTAGACAAGGATGTGTGATGTCACCGTGGTTGTTTAATATATTTATAGATGGGGTTGTAAGAGAAGTGAATGCGAGGGTCTTGGCAAGAGGCGTGGAGTTAAAAGATAAAGAATCACACATAAAGTGGGAGTTGTCACAGTTGCTCTTTGCTGATGACACTGTGCTCTTGGGAATTCTGAAGAGAAGTTGCAGAGATTGGTGGATGAATTTGGTAGGGTGTGCAAAAGAAGAAAATTAAAGGTGAATACAGGAAAGAGTAAGGTTATGAGGATAACAAAAAGATTAGGTGATGAAAGACTGGATATCAGATTGGAGGGAGAGAGTATGGAGGAGGTGAATGTATTCAGATATTTGGGAGTGGATGTGTCAGCGGATGGGTCTATGAAAGATGAGGTGAATCATAGAATTGATGAGGGGA